ATTAGCACGAGCGAACGTTGAGGAATAATAAATTTGTCGACCTCGATCATTACAATGCCATTGAATAATTCACGTGGAAAAGTTCGATTGGATGATGGTATATGAAACTGAGCTGATTTCTTAATTTTCAATTTTCTACAATCTGAGGTAACTGAAGTAAACATAACATAAAGAAGTTTAGCGTTTGTTGTTTATAATGTTTAAAAGAAGCTGCTTTTGTTTTGTTTCTATTACAATTTTTTACGAGATAAGATTTAAAAATATTTTTCCTTTTTTAACTGATGAATCTATTATATTAGCTATAATGTGTCGATTGTATAGTAATAAGATTAAACTTTAAACTCGCAGTTAGTTACTTGAAAATATTTGTCCTACTTTGAGACTTATTGGATCGTTTAGAAAATGGCGATGCGTGACAATATGGATCAAAGTGATCAATATTATCACGTCTTATATTTCCACTTCTTATGCTGTAGATGCTGTAGATGCGAAAGTGATGTTTTCATTTGCGACTTTTGTTCATAAGCTTAAAGGATTTCTACATACAATTTGTAACATTTAACATTTAGCTCAATTTTCTTAATTTTTATAAAAATTTCTTTTATTTTCATTTTTAATTAATAATTTTTCATTCACAGAAATGCGATAAAAAAGTTGTTTTAACATCGAGAACTTTACTAATAACAAAAAGCAACTCTTTATTCTTATTATCATATCTTATATTACTATTCCACTTCTTGCACTATGTTAAAGCAAATCTTGTACTTTTCGAACAATTGGTTTTTCTTCCTAATAAATATGAATAATATTATAAAAGATATATTTACTAACTTTTTCGATAGGTATTGATGCAATTACTGCATTTAATATTTAATAGAATTAATTTTTCGTCTAAAACGAAAAAGTAGCCCATATTATTATTTTTTCTTCTACGGCCATGAATAACATTATAAGTACATTTCAAAATTTCTCTCTTTCGCATATTTGTATATATTTGTTAAGTAGAGAAGCGAAATATTATGTAGCGAGCTTAAGTAAAATAAGAATGCGCTGACAAATGACTAGTGGATGTTTTCAAGATGTCTTCTCGACTAGTTTTTCGCGTTTGCTTGTACCTTTAGGAAGAAGTGCTTCTTGCACCCAGGCGTTCAATTAAGCTTTCTGCTCAGCTTTAGAATTCTCACCCCTAAAATGGTAAGAGCAGCCGTGTGGTTTTTGCAGGAGACGAAGAAACTCGTAGTCCCTTTTCTTTTACTTAACTACTCGCGTTTTATGTCTTACTACAGAACTTTCTTAAAATTCCCCCGGAGTATTCTACGGTATTCGTGCTGTCCATGCGATCATTGAAATGAACTTTGTTTCGCTAAAATTTTCGCTACAGCCTCCTTGTTCTTTCTCGCGAATTAATAACGGATAATTAAATCGTAAGTTCCTCGAATTCAATTTGATCGCGAGTGTGCGGACTACAAAAAAATACGCGGAATTTCAATAAACTGAGAGACTTTTTGGTGAAACAGCGAAAAATATTTTTCAGTAATTCAGCTGCAAACAATTGACGCACAAAAATATATATTAGATATTTATGTTTAATTACAAAACAGAAATATAACATTTAATTACGATATTGTCGAGTTTCCAACAATAGCCACGGATCCATCGCGCGCTGGCGCAAATAAACAATATACTGTCAATGATGAAATGCCCCGATTCGTGCCGCACGCGTTTTACGATTGCATGATGGCACGACAGTGCATAAAATATTAACGGTATTGATTAACGCTCGATTACAGCTAGAAAATGACAGCCCGTCATAAGCTTTTGAATTAAACAGCACAATTTAACGTAGCTCACCGATGTCAACATCGAGAGCATAATTAGGGCGAAGTGTCAGGAATAAAAACATTGGTAATGTCATATCACGCGATATCACGATTATTTATCCATGAGAACACGACTGGTTGCTGTATCTTTCTCGCGTTAAGAACGAAGTCACGACGAGTAAGCTCTCTTCCGAGCAGTCGCAAAATATTTTTATTTAAAGAGTTTTAAATTCGAAATATTTATTTATTTATTTATTTACGAGAATTATCCTTTTGATGTTACACATATAATAAAAGAAAAAATCTATATAGAAATACAAAAAAAGAAATACAAAAAGAAAAAGCAGCACTATCCAATACAAAACAAATATTTACGTTAAAATAATTGATTTATTAACAATTTTATATGAAAGTAAATAATAATCAGGTAAACGCCCCAGTGGTCGAACATACATGTCCTAATGATTGACATATTGGTTTTTCTTTGTTGAAATACTTTTCAATATACAAAACAATATAATAAATGACAAGAAATATTTAGTTACTTTGTGATTTTGTTTCATTTATTAATAAGCATCTTAACAAACACAAGTATATTATAGTAATTCAATTATCGGTACACGTTCAATCACTAGGACGTTTACCTTATATGATAAAGATTAATTACATTATTAAAATTATTTACGAAACATTATTCACACAGCTAAACGATTAAGTAGTTTAAACATTTTGTATAACGTGCGACGCATGAGAAGATGGATAATTCCTAAGAACGTTTTTGTACGGAAATATTCAATGTTATTAATTAAGAAATAACAGTCATTAAATCTTAAATAAAAATAAAAGATCAGTTAGGCTCCTCCTATCTTTAAGCCTTACAGTCTGTGCGGTTTTTTAGGTGACTTTTACAGTTTTTGAACTAGGATTCTTTCATATACGTTAAAAAATAAACTAGTAAAAAATATAACATTCCTCCTGCGTAAAATATACTGGTTTCCCGGATCGTAGGCGGTAACTATTTTTTATTTATTTATTTTTTCTTATTTAATAATAGAAAAACTCTCTCTTTATATTAAAGATTATGAAAAAACAAATTTATTTATTTATTATATAATTATGCAAAAATAAGAAGTATGTCCGAAAATAAAATAAAAAAACACTCGTGTATATACAAGGTGTATAAAAATGACTGGTTGCCATTTCAGTATATTATTATCCAGCATGAGATTTACAAAATTCATTCCTATAATAGTAGATGCCACACAATTGTCCTTGACTATAAATTCAAGGTCAATTTTTTATTGCATAAATCAATTGTACTCTTGAAGAGCAGCAAAAGTCTAAAAAAAACCATAAGTGGCAAAATAGACCTTGACCCTGAAATTTAAGATTAAATATTTTATTTGACAAAACAATGTTACTCATCAACGAAAAAAAAGGAGGGAGTCTCACATAATACAAGACCGCGTAATAACAAGGATGATGTTGAAGAAGTTAAATAATAGTCCAAATTTATTGAAAAGTGTATTATTCAGTGACAAATTCAGTTTTTTTATTGCAAGCATCTTAAATACGTAGAATGTCTGGATATAGTCATCAAGAAATCTATATACTAAAGTACGAGTATGTAAGCTTGTTTTGCTGAGAATGTCTGAGCGGGGATAATAAGAAATCGATTTGTTAGTACATTTCACTTACCAAGACTCATAAGTTCTCGGTATCTAGTATTTACACGAAATAATTTACTACTACAAGCAACTTACTGCAGCAAATAATTCCTCTGCAATATAGAAGAGCCATATATTTTATGCAAGAAGGTGTGCCTTCCTATTTTGCATCAAGTTCATGCGTTTTTTTTATTTCATGTTCGGTACATGTTTGATAGATCGAAGACCTGCACTTTCATAACAAGATGCCACGAGAGGGATGGGAACGTCTGGACTATATATAAGACATCGGACAGAAAGAATACATTATAAGCTATAATCGTTATAGCCCATCTCTACTTTATGTATCGAAAATAAATTATCAATTATAGCTATAATCGATTATTTCTTATTCATATATTCTGCAGATATGGGCGATACTGATACCCTTTATAGCCTGTAATAGCCTGTAACTCCGCGTGTCGGTTGTCTAATGGATCAAGAATTTCGCTCGTCGGAGTCCGGGTTCAATAATTGTTTGACACAAGCAATTACCTTTATAGAAATATCATACTAAGAATCATTGATAATTACTTATTTTCAGTATTAAAAATACTGGATAATAAGTAATTATCAATGATTCTTAGTATGATATTTCTATAACAGTAACAAAAATAAATAACAAAAGTTTATTAAGAGTTTTTGATACAGAACAACATACTGTAATTGGCGTGTATCGGCGTAAGACGGTGCCAGTAATTGGGTCGTGATCTCGATAGAACGAGTCTCGCGCTTCGGTAAGCGGAACGTATAGCGTGCACACGGTGTATGGCGTAAGACGGTGTCGCTAAGATTGCGTTCCTTTTGGGCACTCACGCGCCATTCTATCTTTATTGTTCATTAGATGTGGAAGAAAGATAGAGTGACGCTTTTAAGCGCTTAAAGCGCGTGAGCGTCCAAAAGGAATGCAGCCTAAGTCGCGAGACGTTCACGAATCGCGACGCTGGAAATTCGGCGGCCGCGGGGGCCCAGCGGTAAAGGCCATCACACACAAAATTCCGTAGCACCGTAAGCCGTAAACGTAAGAAAATCGACCAATCCTAATGTTGCCACTATCCCCATCACTTTTGTCAGTAAAACTTAATCGTAACGTCGAAAAATATCACAAGGATGAAATTCTTAAGGTATACGTAGTTCTGTCAACCAATCAGAGTTTACGGCATTTGCGCTAAAATTCGATGCCAAGTTAAGAAGGTTATGTGTCTCCTGCATCAACCGCATCTGTCACAGTGAAATAATAAGTGATCATAATCAGTATTATAATACAATGTTTAATGAATTAGAAAATGATGAAATAACGACAATTGACAACGACAACTTTAAAGAAAATGATGAACTACTCATTGATGCAGTGAGAGCATATCAACATTTATATAATCAACCCTTATAGAAATATCATACTAAGAATCATTGATAATTATTTATTTTCAGTATTAAAAATACTGGATAATAAGTAATTATCAATGATTCTTAGTATGATATTTCTATAAGGGCAGATCGTAATTTTAAAGACAATTTGATGAAAGAAAATTCATGGAGAGAGATATCCTTGGCAGTGAACTTACCAGGTAAATAAATGTTATTAACAAATTATAATTATTATATATTATTCACTGGTTTCTTTACTTTTTCTGTTTATTTTATTATTTATACTAATAATAAAATATACCAATTGCTATAGTTTCTGATTGTCAAAATCGATGGCTGAGGCTGCGTGAACGATTTGGAAAAGAGAAACGCCAACGAGAATTAGATTCAAGAAGTGGCAGTGGAGTTTGTCGACGAGCTGTTTACGCATATTATGAAAATATGTTATTTCTAAATGAACATATTAAGAAAAGAAAGTAAGTTTGTGGTTTGTAATTCGAATCAATTTTCTACATCTTGCTATTGCACAGTTTTCTGTATTATATTGTATTTCTTTTGTAGATCCTATACAAATTTGTGGATCATCTTTCATTTCTTGAAGTAGATGATAAAAATCTCCCAGATGAGGACGCATACAATTAATTGGTCGGACCCACCATTGTCGATTCTGCCACCTTCGTGATCTCTTCCTTCGTAATAAAAGTATACCCACCCTTATAGAAATATCATACTAAGAATCATTGATAATTACTTATTATCTAGTATTTTTAATACTGAAAATAAGTAATTATCAATGATTCTTAGTATGATATTTCTATAAGGGCATGGCCACAACCAATATTGCCGCAAATATTAGATCCTCTTTTCCCATTATTTTGCAGTTTTTAATTTTAGTAAATGACCTACAGAATAGTTTTATTTGTATAAATGTTAAATCATTTTTCTATTTTTCTTTAAATTCTATCTATTGTATCTATTATATCTATTTTATATCTATTTATATCTTTTTATATTTATTTTATATCTATTTTTATTATATCCATTTTATATCTATTTTGTATCTATTTTGTATCTATTTTCTATCTTATTATATCTATTTTTTTTTAAATTATTTTGATATTCAAATATTTAAGTGAATTATATAATAACATTAAATTTGCAATTCAATAAAATTGTCATTAAACTATTTAAAAAAAATACTGTTTAGTGTGATAAAACTGCAAAATTCACACACTTTTAGATTAAAATTTCTTAAGTAGAAAGGAGCTTTTTCTTGTTCGTCATTGGTTAAACTTTATGTTTTACGTCATGTGTGTGTCACGGATCTTGCGTCTTGTGCCTTAAGTTTACGGCGCTACGGAATTTTGTGTGTGATGGCTTTAACGGCGGTACGATCGTGTCGTAGCATGCAGCGCTATCTGTCGGGCGACTCGCTTGTCGCTGATACGATATATGCAAGTATCGACAACGTTCGATCAAGCGCAGCGAACACACTGGCACGGGTACTTGCAAGTCGAGAAAGGATACGATCGGTACCGAGAATGCTCGATGGAGTTCGCGAACACACGAACTCGTTGGCCGGTCGTTGAAATCAGACAGGAAAGTGAAGTCGGTATCAAGAGCTCTCGACAGAGATAGCGAACACACAATTTACTGGTGCTGGTTTTGCCTGTACGGGTGCGGAAGTAGACGGGAAGGTAGAAACGATACGGTCGAAGTCCTCGCTCTCCGCTCTTAAACACCGAGTACGGTCCGGATCGGTCTGGTCCCGCTTATTTCTCGGCCACGGTTTATATAGTCGATCTTTCCATCTGTTAATCTTTGTTGACGTCGCGCACGCTGTTGTATTGCTTAGACGCGTGATGGGCGCGGTGCGTATTTATGTTTGGATTGTTAGTCTTGCGGTCTTTGCGTGGCGCGTAGCGCCGTTTGCAGCCCGACGGGTGTTTTGTCGGGCTGTTAGTAACGATGCGTGTGAGGCATCGTTACAAGCCTATAATCGATTATTTCTGTTCGATGTTCCATCTCTAGTCTGGATGTACTCTTTCCTCTCCTGGCGTCTTCTCATGAAGGTCGTTCCATTTTTTTTCTTTCAGATTCAGCACATAGTAGAATCATAATTGCGAGCATGAGCAGCGGCACAGGTTACGGTGGCGGCGGCGGCGCTGGCAGCGACCATGGTAGCGAGGACAGCAGCTGCGCAAGCGTCCTCGTCGTGCCTATTGACACCGACAGCGACCGCGATCGCAGATTAAGCTCGTGGACGAGCTGGTATTATAGCTGTAACAGTGGCAGTAGCAGCAGCAGCAGTACCAGCAGCAGCAGAAGCTCGCCGGACAATCTCCCCAGCATCAGCGCAGCCGACAATCTCTCCGGCACCAGCACAGACGACACACGGTTACCGTGTGTTAGCTGTGTAACGGGTTAGGATTTTTTGTAAGTATTAGTTTCATTCGTGATTATTTCTTTTTTTTTTACTCACAGAGCATGGATGCCAATCACATCAGGGAGCACAGGGTAAGTATATATGTCGCATTTCAGTCATTTATTCGCAACTCTCACGACACAGTGGGTGATTGCGACGGGAAAAACCGCACGGAAATGTTTTTTTTTCTTTGCACGTTTTTTTTTTACTTTTTCATACATCACATATCATTTAGTTTCTTTCTTTAATAATCCTTGCAGGATAGCAAAACCATGAGTGAAGAAGCGCGGCGGATTCGGGCGGCGGCTGAAGCAGCCATGAATGAAATGGATATAAATATCCACGACTTATTTCTGATTTCCGGATTTCTAGATCTCAATCTATTAGATTTTTTCGTATGGAGTGTTATCAAAGAAAGTCTTGGCGTATGAATAAGATAATATCATACAAACATCTGTTAAAATTATCTGTAAAAATCATTTAAATATATTTAATGCATCTGTTAGCCCGAAATAATCAACTCCTTGAAAAAGTACGATGTAATTTAATTGAAAGATCAACTTGTCTTAACAATTGTAGATGTTACATAAAAGCGTGAGTACAAGCAAATATATTAAAAGCGATTGATATGAATGGCTCAGTTTCTTTGGGTTTGACGACATAGATAAATATGCGCTCGCACATATATTTATAAACACAAATGAAAATACACGCAACACAAAGACCTCCGATTATCTTCAGCTTCCTATTCGAGCAACTTCGGCCATCAATAACATAATGACAAATTGACATTCGTCGAATTATTGATAATTGATTCGAAAATTTCGGAAATTATTAAAGAGAATGAGATAAAATACGGCTACAGACAAAAATCTAAAGCACCATTGAAAGCATCTCAGACGCGATATAGCAGTTCTTTCTTTTACTTTTGACGAGTAGTATCGTAATAAAATGCTAATAAAATGCTTAATCTTGAATTTCAGTCAAAGCCAATTTTACAACTTATAATTCTTTTGAGACTTTTGTTATTTTTCAAAAGTAGAATCGATTTATGCAATAAAAAATTTTGACCTTGAATTTTTATAGGTCAAAGATAATTGTGCGATATTCTAAATAATTTTTACCGATTTAAGCTAGAGAATAACATACTGAATTACGGATCAATAATATTTATACTACCTATACATGTAGACCGAGTCATTAAATTATCAGACAACCTGTATATCATAATATGAAAACAGTCGAAATATAAAATAAAAGGTCTATTATTATATACTTCTATCAATTTTAAATTATATGCGATTAATATACACAGGGTGTACCAGCGCGATTTCTTAATCTTTCGTGACGACGTAGAGCAGATTGAGATGAACAAAAAAGTCAAATACCGTTTTATAGAAATGGCAATATTGGTCAAGATATTAATTGTAAAAGATTTGGAAATAATTATGCATAATAAATGAGCGTAATAGCGACGTCTGCCATTGTGTGTTTATATATTAGATCAATATATATATATATACATTCACATATCTTAGAAATAATATAAAAATTAAAAGAAATGTAGATAATAGATAATGTAGGATTAGATAAATATAGATTAATTTATATTGTAATTAAAAGTAATATATATGTATATATACATATACATGTATACATATATATATATATATATATATATATATATATATA